CAATGGCGCGGTGCGTGTGGGCGCTAGATGACCCGGAGTTGGTTGAGCATATCATCGCAACAGCAGAACCGAATGCAAAGGCTTGGCTTTTCAGTATGCAAGAATCGATGCCGCATTCCGAGTTCACGAAGCTAGCTGTGACACTATGGGCTATATGGGGTGCACGGCGTAAGCTGATCCACGAAGGGGAGCACCAGAGCCCCATGGGGACTCACTCATTTATCAAACGCTTTCTGGCAGATTTGAGTATTGTTTCTATGTCACATGAAATAACGAAGCCGAGAACAGCCCCAGAGCGGACGCATGTGTGGATTCCACCACCGGCGGGTCATCACAAGGTTAATGTCGACGCTGCTATATGTAAACAACCTCCTGTCGGGGCCATAAGTGCGGTTTGCCGGGATCAATCAGGAACTTTTGCTGGGTCAGCATCGGTGGTATTCCATGGCATGACCGATCCACATATACTGGAAGCTTTGGCATGCCGCGAGGCTATTGCATTAGCCAGGGACCTTGCACTTACTCATTTGAAGGTAGCTTCTGATTGCCTTGCGGTGGTCAAGGACATACATACTGGCACTATGGGTACAATCGCTCCAATTGTGGAGGAGATCATCGACTCGAGTAGGGAGTTTCAGTCTTTCTTTCGTCCATGAGAAACGTCTCTCTAATAAGGAGGCTCATGGCTTAGCTCGACATGCTTTACATCTAGGGAAGGGTCGCCATGTATGGCTGTTACACCCTCATGATACTGCTATTATTCCTGTAATTCGTTCTATTGAGCAATAAAGTAAAGCATGTTCTTCAAAAAAAAAAAAGAAATTTCCCAAACCGCCTCGAGCACCCGATCCCAATCCGAGGCTCCCAACGGTAATATCTCCGCGCCGCTTTGTCGACCGACCGACCGAACCCTTCAATCCCGCCCACCCGGCCCGGATCCAGCCCCAACCCACCATCACCAGCTCCACTCCCCTCTAGTTTCCCGCCGCCCGCCAAAGCCGCCTCCGGCAAG